GTTCAAGGCCCCAAGAACCTTGTAACATCAACTGTCTACGGCAAAATGCATAAGCAAAGACCTGAGAAACCTAAAAGAAAACCTATGCAGAAAGTATACCAGTGTGCAGGCAAATGACTTGCTGAAAGCTTTCTAAATCTGGGGTTTCAAACGCTTTTGTAAAATGTTTCTCAATTTTCACTCCATGCCCCAAACTCCAAACAAATTATATGTGTTGAGCCATTATAGTTGATTCATGCACTTCTCTCTTCGCATTTTCTAAATAGAGTACATGGAAGCTGAACTGATAAAAGCCCTACTACCTAATCACATGATTCAACATATTACCACAAGTTTAAACCTTTGTGATGTGAAAGCTGAAGACTTGGTTCCCATTTTTCAGTGTCTGCTGCCTTTCTCTTTCTAACATTAGCATTCTGTTATCATTTAAGTGAACATGACATTGCTCATTTAATATGTAAATTAAGAATTGAGTTTCCAAAGGTAGTGTACAATGGAATTTATGAGACACAACTGAAAAAGGAGACTCAAATTCATTTCTAGCCTTGCATTACTAGGTAAGTTGTTTCTCCCACCTTCATTTCTTTTCTCATTCTTAACTTCACCTTTCCCTCCATTCTTAACTTTCCATTCAAAGCCCCACACAAACTAGCATGTTCTAAGTTTTGCTATGGAAACCTGGACTCATCAGCAGGGGTAGCTACAAGCAAAAGGCATAATGAAATCTCCTGTTATGCCTGTTCATGGAGACACTGTGCTCTGCATCCTCCACGAAGTCTCACTGATGAATATTCTTTCAGAACCAAGTGCCTGAAAAGCTGAGACTGATATGTTTTTCCCTAATGGAAAATGTGTAGTGGCATTTTTTGAATTGCTACATAATTGCGTACATAGCAAAAAAAAATGGTAAGAACTTTTACCAGGAAGGCCTTTAGGGGTGTGCTAAGCATGGCGCTGGGCTTAGATATGCCAGTTTAGTCTTAGGAGCTGGGGCAAAACCATACTGTTCCTGTATAATAGAGGTACAAGTAATTTAAAGATGGAGAGAGAAAGGGGAATCCAAGAATAGAAGAAAACAGCTAGGGAAGCGGGGCGGAGGGAAGGGTCAAAGAGAAGAACCTCCAGTGTTGGCAAACTAAGAAGACACTTTGCAGACCAGATGTTCAATAAGAATGTTCAAGTGGTTTGATGTGGGATATGCAAAGTAACCCCCCATCACCCCCTCAGTAAAATCTACATTGCTCACTCACTCTTCTATGAAAGTGGATTCTATTAGAGAACCTTAATGAAGAGCTGTGGTCCGTGACTATGGGTTGATCTTGGACAAAAACAGAAAGAAGATATGCACATGCAGGAAACTGCAGGGACAGCTGACATCTGTGTTACCCAAGGTAGGCCCAGGCTGTGAGAGTCAGAGAGACCCAGATTTAATCCACATAGTCACAGGCTGCCTGTGTAACCCGAGGCCAGTTGCTGAATCTCTCTGATCCTGCATTTTCTCCACTGTAAAATGAGGGTAATGATAGCCAGGTTTGGAGTTGTTGTGAGAATTAAGGATAATATGCATAAAATGCTCACTACATGGAAGTTACCCTTTTTGATGATGATTTTTTTCTATTTTTGTTTTAGCTGCTGAAAACCCTAAGTCTGTGACTTTAAAAACTTCAAAACTTTAACATGTATGATTTTCATATGTGTGCTGTTCTTTTTTTCTGAGTCTTAAACTAATTTATATTTTCTCTAATCCTAATTGTTTAGTTACTATTTATATCTATTGCGCTCTATTACAACCTGCATCAAAGCCCTTGTAAAAAGTGATGTTACACAAGTAGAGTTTTTCTCTCTATTATGCTCCCAGTCTCTCCATACTGAATTTTAGGGCATGATGCAATTTGGTGCATTTTCTTCCACTTCAGATGCTGCTGTCATGCTTAGTTTCACAGTGTTGTCTGGCCAATAATTGGAATGACTTAGGCATTGATCAAAACCTGCCTCTACTCTCTTGGTTTGTCGCCTTTGTCATTGAAAGTTGGCTCCCAACCGGGATTAGCAGTGAAGCAGTGTCTTGTCTTGGAAAATTGGTCTTCTCTTCTTTGTCATTACGTCTTCTCCAACCAAGCTGACCAGACCCAACCATCATATTCATGCCAAAATGTCTGCATAGCCCTCAAGAGGCAAGAAAAGAAACAAGCAAAGGACAGATAACATTCCCATTTTACACCTGAGGGAAGTGAGACCCAAAGACGCCAGTGATCAGCCCAGAGCCATGATCAATACCAAACCGGAATTAAAACCAGGCCACGTACTTTCCTGCCTCTGGAACACTACAAAGTATGGCATCAACACACACTAATTAGTCAAGCAATCCATGGCTTGTCGGTACATCAAAGCACAGCACATTTACTTGATCCTGCCAAAGATTATAAAAGAACGACTTTCACAAAATAGCTTCTATTGGCAGAGCTTATGCAGGGGCCAGGGCTCCTACCCTGGAAGGACTGGGGGTGCATGAGCCTCACCTCCACCTTTGGGTTCTATTTACTAGTCCATGAAAGCACTGAAACCTCATACCATCACTGTAATGGAAAGGTAGGACCCAGTTTCTGACACAAAGCCCAAGGAAGTTCTAATTTTACAAAAAAGGAAAATGAAACTTTAAAGTCAATTTCAGATGCTTGAGAGTCTTTACAAATGTGTCCCCCTTTTCCTTTCCTCTGATAACTTCTGAAGACACTGAAAAGATCTGGATTTCTAAACTTCCCAGGGGTGGTTTTTGGTTGGTTTGTCTGTGTTCTTGTTTTGGTTTAGCAAAGGGTAAAGTGTATAGTATATCAGTTGTTATATCCAAGAATATGAAGCCTGCAAGCAAAAGATTTGGGAAGGTTCCCCTTATCCCAATGGTTAAGTGGGAAATATCTAGCTCTCCAGTTCCCCAAATGCAGGTACTTACAGAGTAATGTTTACAGCTATGTTGAGGGAAAGAGGAAACATTCACTGCTCCGCTAACAAGAGCCCTGAAACCATTCATCCTTGATAAACTGAGCAAGCAGGAACTTTAGCTGATATTCAGGCTCGCTTATCTATTCTTCAACATGTCTTTACAGAGATTCTTTACAACCACACCAAAGCAAAGTACCTCTAGCTCTTACCACCAGTACTTAAAGATAACATAGAAGAGAAATTTCCTAAAATGCTTACGAGATTGACTAGACATGAAACCAGTAAGCAAAAGAGAAAGCATTCTCACCCAGGTACTAACTTGGATTAGTAACAAAACAACGACACTCCTCAAAAGTAAACACTGTTTCCAAGAACTAAAAAGAAACAGCAACAATCTTAATTTAACAACAATCTTAATATAAAAGGGAATGAAATGAATATAATGAGAAAAATTCTGCATAACTGCACAATTAATTACTTATGTCTCTCAAACAAAAGCTCTTTTATATGGTGCTTCTCTGTCAATCTAAGACTGTAGGCAAGGGTTACAACGGCACTGTGCAGATCGTCTAGACATCATGTCCACAGACACAACACAGCAATACAACTTGCTTTCACAGGAAGAAACCGCACTTAGATCCATCAAGAAGTGCATCAATTAATTTGACTCTTCTCCCTCCCCTCCGCCCCTCAGGTTTTAATCATCTGTTTTGTAGCAACTGTTGTAAATTATGGGTAACAACAACCTTGGAACTTCAACACCAACACAAACCAATACCCCACTGCCACTTTCTTGGCAGTTTGCCATGCATGCTATTTTAAAGTTAGGCATTAGGAGGCAGCAAATGGCTCAAAACCAGAGGCAAAGATAAATGTTGTAGGAAGTTGGAAATGGGACCTAAAGCTGCAAAAGCATAGAAGACAGACTTCATCTTAAATACAAACTTCCAGGAATTCAGATATGCTGTGAGGAACAGTTAGAAGGGAAAAGTGTTTGACCCTCGTAGAGACATTTGTGAAATTGTCTGGATCCCATTCCCCATTTCAGCATCTCTAAAAAGTTCTGATGGTCACCTTAAGGGTTAAACAACATAGATCTTGGTTTCATTTAATCTTGGTTTGTTTCTTGGCTCCAGAGACAAAGGTATCATGTTGCCTACATGGACTTCTCACATTGCGCCTGCTCTGGCAGTGCCCGCACTGATACAGATACTGTTCAAACCATCACGGAGACATTAGAACTGATTCTGCCTCATATGGCTTCATTCTGACTAATGCATTTACATATTTAAAACATCCACCATAATCACTTAAAAATGCCAATGCTGCATTTACATTTAAAAAAATACTTGTGACATATACTCTAATTCAAAGTATCATGTCTTCAGATAAAATATATCTATCTTATTTTTAGGAAGCTGAAAATGGACTTATCACTTTCCTATGGGGGAAAATATCTCTAAATAAAGCTTTGCTATTTTAGTGAAATGCTTGATTAAATTATAAGAAATACAGCTTAAACCTCCTTAAAAATGGCTTGATTGGTTGTAATATCAAAACAACTCCTGCCACTCTCTGGATATTTATTTTGAAGACATAAGCTCATGTAATTTATACAAGAATTTTATTTCAAGCACAAATAGAAAGGTTCTTAGAAAACATGATTGCTAGGAATCAAAACTATAAATGTGTGAGGAAGATTGTGTGGTGTATGAATCAAGAAAACTGACCATCTCCAAAAATAGTTCCCTGCAGTTTTTGCATTGTTTCCTAAACTGTTGTGATAAGAATGCATATATTATATGCTACACAATACTTATCTATCACCAGAATACACAGCGTAGGGCAGCAGTGAAAAACACATTCATTGTTATAATAGTAACATTGTGATAAACAGTTAAATAAAACCAAAAGTAATTCATATCAAATAATGCAAATACTGCACAAAACCTATTATCCTTCTATGCATGCATGATTCCAAATTCCTCCAATAACCAAATTTCTGCTTTATTACAACTAACTATTAATAGTAACTGAAGAAAACATCACACATTACTTACTGTTTTTTAGATGTCTGTGCCATCCTTCTGAATTCAAAGGGGTGAAAAAGAATCACTGCCCCGAGGAAATCTAGCAGGCAAAAGAGGGAAAACAGCAAGTATTAGTTGTCTGAAATTAGCATCTTCAGGTTTTCTTGAGGTACTTCCCACAAGATCCCAAAGCAAAGAAGAAAAAGAAAAAGTTGGAGAAAAACATCACACACATCACGAGTCGACTTTCTCCACAAACCTATGCAGCTCCAAACTTTAAAGTAAAGGCTCAAATTGTTGAGCATCCTGATTGAGCAAATATCCGACTCCGGTATCACTGGTTACACACAGAGTTTCAATAAGACGAATGCATCTCCAAAATTATGGTTACTTTAATGTATTATCCAGATTTTCCCCCCGTTTCTCTCCTTTTCTCCCTTTTCCATTCACATTTTTCTTCCTACAAAATGCACATAGGTCTGTTCTTCCTTGTACCCCGAGTCAGGCCTGGCTTTGAAATGCATTTCAATCTCTCAACACAGACTGCTTTCATTGCATTTAGAGTCCCACTAAGGCCCAGCTTTAAAAGCTACTGATTCTTTTTTTCTTTAGCCTTCCTCACAAAGGAAGGGTATTTTGTAAATTACCAGCTCGTTCAGATCAACAAAAGGTACTTTCATAGAAAGCCCCATTTGATTTTGCTCAAATTTGATTACAAGGATGGAGAAAAGGAAAGGAAGTCAAAAAGAAAAACCCCAGATGGCTTTTTCATTCATCTCAGTGAATGAGCTTTATCTGTGCCTTTTGAAACTGTAGCAGTGGAAAAGCATTTCTGTTGGCTTAAAAAACTTGACAAAAATTATTGGTTTGCCATTTCTCATGTAACAGCCATTGGGAACTGGATGAAAAGACTTTTTCATGGGATCGCCTGCTTGGATCAAAATAATGGAGATTAGGTATTTCATTATAAATTACAGTGGGAGATAGAGCAGGCTGTCATATTAATAGCAACCTGCTCATGGCCTTCAATGGTAGCTATTCTCCTAGACAAAGGACCAAGGGGGTTGTCTATTGAACTTGTACTTTAGGCCTGATCAATTTTCTATCATCAAGGCAAAAGGTGAGGTGACTAACAAAGGAATTCACACATGAGTGACCTCATAAGCCTACAGATAAAACAGCTTAAAGAAGCAAAATACATCCTGAAATTATGGATGATAAACTATATAAAGAAGGAGAAGACAGAGTATGAGAGTGAGAAAGGAAACAGCAATGGTCTGTAATTCTCCTCTCTCTTCTTGGCCAAATGGACACATTAAAAGCTACTTGTTTTCAGCTGCAGATAATTGCAACGTTTGGTTTGCAGTGGTCTGCTTTAAATCCTTCAGCTGACTTTTTTTTCTCAGCACAGCTCCAGTCATTTCATTCGCTATTAACAACGGCATTGTGTCCAAGACAAAGCTTCTACCAAGAGTCGCACTTAAAAATAAAAACTAAAAAGAATTACAAGCAATACAGGCTTGAAGATATTACACAGTAGAATGTGCATTTGTTATTTGCTCCAGGTTACTAGCCTCTCATGCACTCGCTTAGAATCTAAAGCATTTCAAAGACTGAGCTGTACCTGCAACTAAAAGACACAGAATCTTAGTGAAGCGTAACAAAACATGTGATTCAATGAAGATTCCTTCAGAAAAGAGAGATGATAAAATACCAATCCAAAGAACTAGTGAAGGATAGGTGATTAATTTTCATCCAGTTACAAGGAATAATTTAGATTCCCAAAGTTGTCCAAATTACTCTAGAAATTACTAAAATTATCTTCCCTGTTATGTTTCCATGGAATTTTCTTCAACTTTTCTAAAAAAAATAATTGGGATTTCTGCCCGCTAGTCTTAGAGTTCCTTGAATTCAGAATAGTAGTGGAGAATTTATGTTCCAGAGATAAAACCTGGGTTACCAAAGTTTACTATCACCTAGAGATGTAGATACAGTGTAACACTTTCAGCACATGACATCAAGCTAATGCAAAGTAAAAATATGTGTGAGCAGGATATATTTTTACTGTGCTATTTTTTTAAAGCAAAAGAGTAGTATAAGATTATTAATGTAAAAGGACTTCCAACTGCCTAAAAGCCTGAGAAAACACCATAAATATCACCCGTGACAGCAGTTGTCAAAATAAGGCTACATTTTGAAAGGCACTCTTGACAAGCGTAATGAGCCCCAAATCTTGGGCACAAGCCGTCTTGGTTCACACTCACACATATAGTAGTGAAGACATAAGGACGATCATTTATGTATAGATCAATAAAACAAGGAGATAGTATTATCTGAGGCATATACATATACAAACAACTCCACATATGTATAAAATTGTACTTTGTTTTTGGAGGAGCCCTGGATCCTTCAACTGTTTAACCATTCAGAGAGATCCCAAATTCAAGGTTATTAAGAGGACTTAAACAAGAGTGGTGGAAGTCACTGTGTAGGAAAGCTCTTCCCATTATTGGTGTACACGTGTATTGGTGTGAATTTTCCACAGGGTAACTGGAGAGCATTCTTCAAGAGTTTGAGAGCCTCAATAACTCTTGACCTACTTATCCCATGTCTTCCAAATAGAAACTATCAAAAATACAAATAAAGATTTCTTTTTCCACAAAGATACTTATACAGCGACTCAGACAGTAATGGGACAGTGGTTAGGATTACAAGTTCTAGAGCCAGGCTACCTGAATTCCAATTACAACTGGACCAATTTCCAATTACAATCTTATGATTTTGTTACTAACCTCTCTATATGCCTCAGTTTTCTCACCTGTAAAACGGGGATCTCAAAAATGTGTTATGAGAATTAAATGGGTTAACATACGTAAAACATTAAAGGAATTACTAGCACGCAGTAAGTACCGAATAAGTATTAGATGTTATTATTATATTAAATGATCCAAATCTGGAAAATTATTAACTAAATTGTGATAAATAAATACAATAGAATGTAATATGCCCATGAGCATGCCCAATATGTTCTTATTTTTATGAGTTAGTTTATGAAGAACACAGCTTGCCATGTTTATCTAGCAGGGATAGATTACAGGGAAAGTCTGAATCTATGCCAAAGTTCACCTCAGTGCTTAGTAGCATGATTTGGAAATGAGATGTGCTTCAACAACTGGGGAGTAAACTTAAACTCTAAAACGTAAACAAGTAAAATCCAAACATAATGGATTCGCAAAAGTTCCAACCCCAAGAAGCTATCAGTATATGGGTTACCAAAGGCATCTGACAACAGTCATCTAGCAAAATGACTCGGGGATGAACTTGGGAAGATGGGCACATTCCAACATATATAGGATGTGTGTAACACAGCTTTGATCCAATCGGTTAGGGGCAAAGGACAAGGCCAAGGAATCATAAGAAGTTTCAACAATACCGCCTGAGTAGTGACCTAATCAATTGCAGGGGTGGCTAAACATGGAAACTGTAGGTTGCAGCCTAGGAAAGGACTCTCTACGGGAATGTCTAGAAAAGAGGAGTAAAGGCCAAGAAGTAGGTGCTTGTCCCTTTTCCTCCCTCTACCCACTGAGGACAGGAAGAGAGATGCAAGAAAAAGCAGACCATTCCCACCACCCCTGCTGGGCCCTCAGTCAAGCCTGAACTAGGGGGTGGGGGAAGGGTAGGGAAAGGGGGAGCCTAAAATGTTTAATTGGGCTGTACTAGTCTTCAGTAACTAAAGATGACTGAAAACTTATGGAATTTCGCAAGATATTAACAGCCAGGAATGTGACAGAGAATAGTTGCAGGCAAACAAAAGAGAACTGAATTCAGATTACTGCTCAGTACACAAGTTACATGTCTTATACCTTTGTTACAAGAAAAAATGTCAAGGCTAAGTACTAGACTTTTCAAGAAACTTCAGTTAATAAAAAGCAAAGTTCAAGAATAGGAAAGTGCCATATGATCCAGCAATTCCACTTTTGGAAATATAGCCAAAAGAATTGAAAACAGGGACTTAAACAGACATTTGTACACTCATGTTCATAGCAGTATTATTCACAATAGCCAAAAAGGTGGAAGCAACCCAAGTGTCCATCAACACATGAATGGATAAACAAAATGTGGTATATTCATTCAATGGAATATTATTCAGCCTTAAAAAGGAATTTCTGACACATGTTAAAACATAGATGTACCTTGAGGATATTATGCTAAGTGAAATAAGTCAGACAGAAAATGACAACTACCATATGATTTCACTTACATGGGGTACCTCAAGTAGTCTAATTCATAGAGACAGAAAGTAGAATGGTGGTTGCCAGAGGCTGGGGGTGGGGGAAATTTAGAGTTATTGTTTAATGGGTACAGAATATCAGTTTTGCAAGATGAAAAGAGTTCTGGAGATGGATGCTGGTGAAAGTTGTACAGCAATGTAAATGTACTTAATGCTGCTGAACTTTACACTTAAAAATGGTTTTATGTTATGTAGATTTTACAATATTTTTAAAAAGAATATGAAAATGTTGCTTCCTGAATTCCTCAGCTCTTTTATCTTATTATCATCCAATGGAAAGGAAAAGAAGAGGAAGAGAAAGAGCAAGAGAGGTGGGGGTGGGGAGGAAAGGACCGCTATGTGTAGTCAGTTGTGCAATTTGTACACTTCACCCAGATGCCAGAGAGGGTAAAATCTAACTGACCAAGTGGTATGTCCTGGAGCTGGATTTCAACAGCTGGGAGGAAGGGGTGCCATTTTGTAAGTCTTCTGCTCAGAGGCAACATCTTTTATTAATTTGTAGAATGGTCCTGTATGTGTCAACAGGCCTTGGAAGGGAGCCAGGCTGGTATGTAGATTAAGAACGAACATTTTGATTGAATGGTAGAGTTGGTTATGTCCTTTTTGTAAATGAATGGACCACTAATTCCCTAAAAACCTTCCAACTGGGAGTTTCAAGCTCATCATTGTCTTTTTCATATGCTCTTTCCTGCCGTCAATACAACCAGCATTATTTCAACATACCCCTTCCTGAAGCATATGAGAGAACAGCACCATTCTAGTGACATATAATTGGAGTAATAACATGTAATATATAATTAGACTTCTCT